TTCTAATAATTATAAGGTAAATAAAGATGTTGCATAAGACTCTCATAAAACACATACTCAGAAAATGCAAATTTTTTCCACCTTATTAAATAAAATTAATGAGCTGTCGGTTAGGCTGGTCCCTGTGAGAATAAAACAAATATACCTTCGGATCGGAACGCATACCGATCGGTTGAGATTAGCTTACATAAACAAGAGGGGTATAAACGTGTTTGGGAGCTTCTGCTTCAACTTAATTACTAAAGTTCTAAATCAAAATTAGCAAACAACTTCTGTAATTCTGCTGAATTTGATCAGTACAGCAACTTATCTGTTGCGGCCTTCATGATGCGTGTTTTAAAATATTCACAAAGTTGCTTGTACGATAGGATGACAGATTATGAAAGCCCTTTTCAATGTTTGACAAAAACCGTAATAGCAATGAAATGACACGAGAAATGAGACCCAACGCAGAGCGGGACAAGTGAGTTCTGTTAGCAGTCGGCGAACGTTAATCAACCGATATCTGTGTCTCCAAAACTGAACCGACAAGACAGGGAACTCGTGGCTCAATGATTAGGGCGTTAGACGCTGAGCAAAAGACCGCAAGTTCGAGTCTTAGCTTTGGCATCGCTGCAGCTGGGTACGGCTGGCTGACGGCGGCTTATAAGCCAGAAATGACCATGAGTTCGAGCCTCGAGTTGTGCCTCACCTGGGCTCAGATATGGCTGGCTGACAAGGACCAGTGAGACAGAAGTGGCCATTCCAGTCTCCCGCTTGTCTTTGCCGGCAGCACTATCTGCCTAGACTACTAGCCGTTGTGCGGCCGCTGTCAGGGTCCGAGAAATGAGACCTAAGACAGAGTAGGACAAGTGATTTCCATTTCATTAACGAGTGTCAAGCAGCTGTCTTGCAGTATGGAATACGACGTCCAACTTGGATGGAGGCAATATTTTTCTTTCAGATTTTCCAAGCACTCGTAAATAATTCAAGAAGAGAAACTAGTGTCATAAGCTGCTTTGCCTTCACGCACAGATTATTTGGCTGCGTCCTATGATACATACCTCTGATAGAAAATGACTGAACCTCTTCAAACGAACTATAAATGTGTAGACTTGGCTAAAACCTAAAAGTGTAGTAACCTTTGTTTAGATGCA